TTGAATGATATCAAGCCTTGTTTAATTAGATTAGATTTCAACCTTCTCTTTTCATGATGCAACGTTGCCTCCATCCTAAGTCGGCCTAATACGAGTAATGAACTTCACTACTAATTGAATGATATCAAGCCTTGTTTAATTAGATTAGATTTCAACCTTCTCTTTTCATGATGCAACATAGCCTTCATTCTAAGTCGGCCTAACATGAGTAGTGAGCTTCATTACTAATTGAATAATATCAAGCCTTGTTTAATTAGATTAGATTTCAACCTTCTCTTTTCATGATGCAACATAGCCTTCATTCTAAGTCGGCCTTACACTAGTAATGAACTTCACTACTAATTGAATGATATCAAGCCTTGTTTAATTATACTAGAATACAACCTTCTCTTTTCATGATGCAACATAGCCTTCATTCTAAGTCGGCCTAACACGAGTAGTGAGCTTCATTACTAATTGAATAATATCAAGCCTTGCTTAATTAGATTAGATTTCAACCTTCTCTTTTCATGATGCAACATAGCCTTCATTCTAAGTCGGCCTAACACGAGTAATGAACTTCACTACTAATTGAATGATATCAAGCCTTGTTTAATTAGATTAGATTTCAACCTTCTCTTTTCATGATGCAACATTGCCTTCATTCTAATTCGGTCTAACACGAGTAGTGAGCTTCACTACTAATTGAATGATATCAAGCCTTGTTTAATTAGATTAGATTTCAACCTTCTCTTTTCATGATGCAACATAGCCTTCATTCTAAGTCGGCCTAACATGAGTAGTGAGCTTCATTACTAATTGAATGATATCAAGCCTTGTTTGATTAGATTAGATTTCAACCGTCTATTTTCATTTATGATATGCAACATAGCCTTCATTCTAAGTCGACCTAACACGAGTAGTGAACTTCATTACTAATTGAATGATATCAAGCCTTGGTTATTGATATTAGATTTTAACCTTCTCTTTTCATGATGCAACATATCCTTCATTCTAAGTCGGCTTAACACGAGTAGTGGGCTTCATTACTAATTGAATGATGTGAAGCCTTGTTTAATTAGATTAGATTTCAACCTTCTCTTTTCATTGTGCAACATATCCTTCATTCCAAGTCGGCTTAACACGAGTAGTGGGCTTCATTACTAATTGAATGATATCAAGCCTTGGTTATTGGTTATTATTATTTCAACCTTCTCCTTTCATGATATGCAGCAACATACATGTAGCCCTCATTCTTAGTAGGCCGAAGACATGCGACAAGTAGAGCGTTTTACTACCAATTGCATCATATCTAGCCTTGCTTAATTATTTTCGATTTCAACATTTCTTTCATGATCTGCGAAACAACCTCCATTCTTAGAAGGCCTAACACCTGTAACCAGTAGAGCGTTTCACTACCAATTGCATCACACCAAGCCTTGCTTAATTACATTCGATTTCAACATTTCTTTCCATGATCTGCAACACAACCTCCATTCTTAGTAGGCCTAACACATTTGACAAGGACAAATTGCCACTAAAGAATCAGAGGATCCAATCTAACATAATGAATGCGTTACAACGTGTAATCTAATTGTAAAATATCGTAATCCAATCTGCTTGATTAATAAGCACACCCTGACTCAAGGCTTTTCAAATGCATATTTCAACTAACGATGCTCGATTACACTTTTGCGAACCCAATTTCATCTTTGATAATACAGGGTTTCCCGAAAGTATTATATGGAGTCCTATTTTTAAATAACTTTATTAGTAATAGGGAGATAATCTTAATTTGGAAATAGCAATGTACAGTATTTCCATACTATACGCTGTGAACGACTTTGGGATTTGGAGAAATTATTTTTCCGCTGACACACGTACTCATACCAAGGTCCTCACATTTCGAGTTATAAAGTTCATATGTCCCAGTACCAAATAAGCAAGTCATTTCCTGGTTGCTTTGGAAGTCAATTTCCTCTAAGATTATTCAAATAGCAATAAAGTTCTGTTGCACAGTATTACATTTATAATTTTTGTTCTGTGACTGCTAAACGTATATCTACAACAAAACTCGTACGATCTCGCGTATGTTTTGGAATTCTTCCTGTTTTAGATTAGATTTTGTTTGACACGTGTCAGGTTTGGGTTTGAATTTCTCTAAGCCAGAAAATTAGGCAGTTCTCACGATGTTTATTTAAATTGAAGATGTCAAGAAATACATGGAAATGGATTGCATATTTGTTCAACTAAAACTTTTTCCTGACAGTTAACGCAATGGGTCACTTTCTGCATGCACCGATGATCACGTGCCCATGATCACGTGGTTGCATGCGTTGTGTGTGAACATAATTATCTATATATACAGGGTGATCATTAGGTCTCTACACTTTACAAAGACTGTGTTTGTAAATGTAAAGATATTAAACGGGAACCCTGTATAATCAAATAACAAGTTGGTTGTATAGAACTGATGTGCATTGCATTACGATTCAAGGAAACAAATCGAAGTCTTGCAAGGCTCGTTTAGAATAATGACCTAAACTAGCGATTTACAACCATTTTAGTGACGTCACAACCGGAAATATGAACACGCAATAAGTTGCAAGGGCGGATCATCTTAAAAAGCATAACGCAACCTTTTTAATATTGACCAAAATACTTTTTGAAACGGATAGAAATATATTTTCAAACACAACTGAGGAAGCGTCTTTCCAAAAAATAATTAATGGCGTTTATTTTATCACTCTGAAAATTGGTTTATTCGTTCTTAAAGTGTTAATGATGTCTAACTAGAAAAAACACCACCGTCGTCTGTAATCTGAATACCATTTTTACTCATGGTCATGGATCGATCAGATTTTCATATTTTATTCAGAAACGATGTAGAAGTATATTACTCATCAATTGCACTATTAGACTCAAGTACCGGACATTGAAAACGCTTGATTGATCATAATTCATATAGGGTTTTATTGAATTTAACTCGAGGTACTTGGGAGATCTGCGTCACTTTGACATGGTGCATTTCAAGACGAAAATTGCTCCTTAATATATTGTAAATCCCCGAGGTCTATTTTACTTCCCAGGATCGTAGACGACTTGCGTTATTAAGAAATAGAGCTTTCTTGGCGATAAGGGGCTGGATCAAAAAGTATATCGAAGTTTTTCTCGATCTACGTGAAAAGGACAAGGCGTTTTGACCTTTTGGAGATTACATGTTCTTTTGATAAGCGATTTGAAAAAATCATGTATGATGCTGACACACGTACATTCATGGATTGCTTGGTTGGTCATCAAATATAATTATTCTGTATACTCCTTTAATTTTTACCTCCAGGGAGTCAAAACATGAACTTCCGTTAGAAATTCCTACACCCATCGGAGTAACCATGGAAAGAATGACGTCATGGTGAACTATGGATTTTAGATTTCTTAACTTAAGTTTTTGAAAATAGCCTTGGTTAACTTGCAGTGTATCTAAGGCATCGATTGGAACTTATAGGCAGTGTTTGGCTTTTTGATACTGTCCAATTGCAGAACCTAATTGCAAAACGTATGTTGCGCATAATTTAGGAAATATATATTAAATAACCTAGACTACTTACCCACCTCCCCTTTAATAAACTCGCAAATTATCTATATAATCCCGGAACATCGAGTTTTATGTGATTTCAAAGACTGGGAGACAACCACTTTATATTTTTCGACCACAGCTCCCATGTGTGTTTGCTTTTTATAACGCAAACACGACACTAAGTGACAAATCTCATTCGCAAATTCTCACCGGACAACTATATTCAAGCAATTATCGTATAAGATTAAAGTAACTCATACTTTCAACTCATGTAGATAAACAACTTCTCAGTTCAGTAAGGAGGATGGGAAGCCAGAGTTCCAACTCGATACTCTTTAATCTCCAAGCAATGCTATATTGCCGATCATGTCTGTATATTTTTACAGCTGCAGGGAGAATGAACAGTATTCTCCAACAAAGCTGGCGTCATTATTCTCTGATATTTACCTTGCTCACAATCAGCACAATTAGCATTCAAAATATTAAAACTAATGGCCATTAATTAAGCCACTGACGATTTTGATCATTTCTTAAGTGTTTTGAATTTTTATTTGGTAATAAGACCAAAACTTGCGATTCAATTTTTGAAGTGAGAAATACGACTCCAGGTTTGACGCTAGCTTTGTTTAGGGAGTATCGATGTTGCATTCTGGCTTCCAATCCTCCTTGAAGTTCGGCATTAATGGAGACCGAATGGGAAATCGGGAATTGGTATAGATCAGTCTTGCTTGATTTATCGGGTGGTTTATGTGATTTTATCAATTTTACTTGATAGTAAAGTGAATAGCGCCGGTTAACATTAAGCGAATCAAATACTTATTTGCGCCGTTCCGAACCAGCAACGGTACATCGTTTAGGGGTATAAAAAGAGCATATAATTTCGCTTGTAAACCTACTAATTTAATGGGGTCGATTTATTACGAGCCTAACGCAACATATTGGCTGTCGTTATATGGATTTGGAGTTTACAGAATTAGATTTTGTAGGACATCGTCGGATTAGTTGTTGATGTTTTCATTGTCTTACTAAGTAACAATATTCATTCTTTATATCAGAATTGCAAATGCATTAGATTATCGCATAAACATCATATTCAGCCTGACATAGAATCTTTGTGTAGACCTTATTTTGGTTGGTCTTATGAATTCTATGCCCATTTTCTGCTATCTGGAAACTAACATAAATGAAGGTGTGAATTTAATTGCTTATTATCATTATTGCTTCCTCTCTCTCTATTATTTTCAAACACTAACTTCCACGCTCTTTTACTTTACGACCCAGACATATGCGTTTCTCAAGACAAGGCGAGACAAGACAAGAGTCGTGGGAATCACAAGTACCGATTATATCTCGCAACCGACTGGAGAAAAGTCGCGCAATTTTCGCATCTGGGAACAAACATGACGTAAAAGAGGGGCAAGTGTAACGACTTACGATTATTTTATGTATTTCCAGGTCATTGTGTAAGTAAACTCCGAGCAACAGTGGGACTGAGCACAGCAGTTGTTTATGGTTCGCCGTATCGATCTCCAGGTACATTGCCAAGCCATAAAACAGTTATAAACCGTGGCACAGTATCTCATAAATTCAGCATAGAGGTTTTACAGAATATTAATTAGTATAAACTTCATTAGGAGACTATACTAGAGACTTCGTTACTAACTCGAGTGATACTTCATATCATCAACACGGTATATTACGACAAGAAATTAATGCGAGCTCAAATATAATATACCACTTTGGATATTAAGCAATGGCAGATGGAAGTAACGGTGATTCGTTTCCTGAAATAGTTGAATTAAACGTTGGAGGAGTATTTTATACGACATCATTATCTACGCTTATAAAGGAGGATAATTCACTTCTGGGACAAATATTTACAGGAAAAGCTAAAAACTATCTTGCGAAAGACTCCAAAGGAAAATATTTTATTGACAGAGATGGTGTGTTGTTTAGATATATTCTGGATTATTTGCGCAATCAAAAACTAGTTCTCCCGGAAAATTTTCACGAAAAAGACCGATTAAAATCCGAAGCGGAACATTTCTTATTGCCGGGAATGGTTAAATGTATCACGTCGCAACCAGCAACGAATAATAAAACCCCAAATGGCCCCATTGTGAATAGTGTCTCCAATTCCAAATCGACGACTGATCCATCATCAAAAGCAGGAGTTATCACGCTTGGATATAGAGGCACGTTTGCCTTTGGTCGAGATGGCCTTGCAGATGTGAAATTCCGGAAATTGACCCGTATTCTGGTTTCTGGCAAAGTCTCGTTATGTCGAGAAGTGTTTGGCGAGAGTTTAAACGAGAGTAGAGATCCAGATCGAGGCAGCATTGATAGGTACACATCCCGGTTTTTCCTGAAGCACACCTTCATGGAGCAAGCTTTTGACCTGTTGTTTGAGAATGGTTATGAATTAAAAGGATGCTGCGGAACCGGGACAAACGGTGCCGGTGAGCTAAAACCCGGCATGGATTCAGAAGAAAATAGATGGCAACATTACAATGAATTTATTTTTTACAGACATTGAGATATATCAAGAAATACAGTGTATATATAAATTAAGGGGATTCAGACATACTGTAGGTTGTACATTGTATTAAGCATTACCATCACAATTACGCATGCGCTTTTAGCTATAGAGATAATCGTTAATTTTACTAACGAATACCACTGTATGATCGTGATGACTACACGTAATCGAGGGGATAATATTGTGAATGCTCAAGTTAAGTTGCATCATACGTTGGATACAGTAATGTAAACATGTCACGTCGAACTAGAGGTTGTCTTGATATTTGAGAACACCGTATCTAAATAGACATTTGGGAGACTGTATTAAAACTATTCATAGTGAATATTTGTAAATAGACATCATCTACAATACATAGTAGCATTAGCACTGTAGGTATTACCACTTACTGTTCAAACGAAAACCTAATGGAATAATTCCGATGTTGAATCTTCTGTGGAGGGGATTCTTGCCATATAGAAGGATACGAACAGTAATACAAACCCTGTGATATATAGCCATATACCATCTAACCATGAAATACGCTTATATGGATGAAAGGATAGTTTCGATATCGAAAGCGAAAGTTTCGTTTAGTAAATTAAGTTAATTATATACGACTGGAAATAAACACACGCATGACTTAGATAATAATATAGAAATACAGTCTTGATTATTTATGAAATACGATAAGCATGTGATATGTCGATCACTGAGAAATGCAAGAGAAAACTGTCGACATAACGGAAGGAAAAACATAAAAATTATCATGACGATTGCCAACATATTGCCTGAAAACAACCGTGCCATCTATCTAATAATTATTAGTTAACTAATATTTTTAAGCAGCATTTGAACCAAAAGTTTAACGGAACTTGGCTGTTACTGCAGTTATTCTACTAATACCTACCCTTGGGTCCATTAAATGAATTTATTTCGATGTTGCTGGAATCTTAATAAGCTCAATAGTGGATTTATAAGGCAATGTAATGGACGTTCTTTAGAATGAACGTCAGATATGACATTGGTTTTACCATAGGGCGGTACAATAACCGGGAATGTTTCGTTCAGTACATTTCTATAATAGTGCGCCCTCTTTAGTGATACACAGCCACATAGAGTGGTTGTTTTCAGAATAACACGTTCTGATTGGATAGCACGACTAGAAAAGTAGATAGATGTCTCTTTTGAGATGAGATATCGGACGTTTGCAGAGGTTATAAATCAGCGTTTATTTGAGTATATCAGCGTATAATCGATCAATCAACAGTTACGAGGTGTCTCTCTCGATTGGATATGCTGTCAAGATAATTGAATGCTTAGTTGTGAAATCTAAAGCAAGGTTGCTTGATTTCGCCGACACATTTTAGTACTGTTAGTGCGCGATATAATTATTAGAGAGGTACATCCAAAAATGATGATTCGGTAGGGTTGTGCAATATGTTTCCGGATTATAAATAAAAAATAACATAGTCTGAATAACGAAGTTATTGCGAATCTCCCAGTTGATAGTAGAGTGTTGATTCTTGGTTGTATTTTATGTGTCGGTGTGCGAGAAATCATACAATATACTTGAGCATTCAACTTTTTAGAACCCAGCATGAAAACAGGTTTATTATGATGTGCGAAAAGTCCAATCCAAATGAAGCCATTAAGTTTGATGCAAGTAGAAACAATCTCGATACTCACAATTAACCCTAATATCAACCCGATCTCCTCGATTTTTCCATAGTCCTTTTTACAAGTTGTAGTGTCCTTGTTATTTTGAGCCAAGATATAAGACACTTTTTGGCGTAAAAACCAAGGTGAGTGGGGCTAGAGGGGCAAGGTGATGATAGTTGGAACTCGATGCCAATAAAATCGTAATTCATCAATATTGATTATTTCCTTGTTTCTAATACTCTAGAAAATAGTTGATTTTTGTCCTGTTTGATAGATTACCATTGAACAGATTGAATTAACTTTCCAATATGTTTTATTTAATAAGAATCTAGCCACTTTTGACCATTTTACCAATCTTTAAAGATAAAATAAATGAATCGTCAAGTATTCACGAAACACGTTTTCTTCACGAATCTGAGAGACATTTTTTCAAAAGCTGCCTATGAGTACAATTGTTTTTTTGCATATTTCTGAATGTTTATGTACACTGTGGTAACACGCATTATAATGTTCACTTCTTCAGGATTTTAGACATAATTCTTCCCCTTCTCCAAATTTTCACTAATTTCAATTTTAATTTTACTAATTTGATGTTTATTCCATTGGTTGCAGATGGATTGTAAAACAATGGACCAAAATGATATTGAAACAATACCAAGTCAAGCATTATTATTTATTCTTACTAAATCACTGATTGGCATTTGTTGTATATCTTGAAATATGAATGCTAAAGGCAAAGCAAGTTGAACGTGAAATTGTTGATAATGTTTATTGTTTAAGGTACCGTACGGCAGCATTTAGGCCCGTAAGAAATTTATTTTGAAAAGAAACTGAGATTTTATCTCAAATGTAAAAATGTACAACCCTTGGGTCACGTTAATCTCGGTTTGACCTTTTTTACCAATTTTTCAAAGAATGCAATACTTTTCTGAAGAGTTTGATTGAATAAGGTTTACAACAATACCAACATTATTGAAAATCATTCGCAAAGGGGAGGGGATCCAAATGCCCTTCCCCCTGCGACTTAATGTTTTTGAAGGTTTTCAGATGTAGCGTGAAGACTTCAGGTTTGATTATTTAAATGAAAAATATACAGGGTGGTCAAAAAAAATGGAAACCCTGTCGCCATTTTCCTCATATCTTTGTCATTTTGAGAAATTACTCCCTGATATTTAGCACATTTGTACATCATTCAATTTCCTACCGGCCTACCACATTTTATGAGCATCGAATTGATAGTCAGAATGTTACAGCACTTTAAACAACATGCTCCATTGGCCAATATGCACTTTCGGCAAACCTGCACCTATCATCCAAAATGTGTATAAATGGATATAAATAACTTGGAAGAATCAAATAACATTTCAACAAGCCCAGAGTGTAGAATAGGCTACTACTGCCATGGTATATCTATTTTAGTGCTAAATTCACTTTTCTTCAAAACTAAGGTAATTGAATTGAAAAATGTCACCAACGTCCCAAAATAAAACTCACACGTACAGTACTCAGTGATGAATGAAGCTTTCTAATGAGAAGTTAGGGCTGTCAATTTAATGCTGTCAGAGGAGTGTAAGATCCATGACAGTGTTGTTATATTTTATAACTGAATTCCCGGGCTGCAAATGGAATAGAAGAACTGTAAAACGGTTTACATATACTATTAATAAAGTAAAGTGTACATATAGTCATATATGAAAGTCTTGTATTGTTTAGCTACACGTGCCATTTTGTGAAATAGTATCCGTCAGGTCAATTGTATGTTACTGCTCAGAATAAATGTGAAATCTAAAAAATAAAAAACGCGTTAAATGGTAATACTCTGATAAAAAATGTGCCCTTTCCTTCCTCCTGCCGGAGTGCACTTAACGTCGACAGGACGTAATTAGCAACTGTCGTTGTACTGGCAGTTGAATTTGATGAGAAATGGTATGGTTTTATACACTCGTGGGAAAAAAGATGACGAATACTAGAAATTGTTTCATGAAGATAATGATGATGCTAAATTTAATGGAGCGATGATCCAATATTTAAAGTACACACTGTACGGCCCACGAGTAACTTTCATGTAAGACCATGCTTCAGCGCACCTATAAAATTGGCGCGCTGCATGGAGACACTGTCTGCGTTCAAACTCTCTCAGCGACTCAATGCGACGCTGTTTACGACTCAGAGCATAGATACTCGTGCTATGTTATAAATAGCATCACGCTACGGCCCATCTATGCCTGTCCCGTGTTACTATTAATAGACCAATACGCGATAACGTTTAATTTAGTTCATTTATGTAGACTTTCATTTGCAGAAACGATAGGTATACCTATCGTTTGTGCAAATAAAAGTCTACATAAATGAACTATATGTAATTAAGATATATAACAATATGGCACAACTTTATCGTTGTGACAGTTAACACGATAAAATGTCCAAATAATATATTAAAAAGTGAGGTACTGTACTTGTTTGATTTCCATGTTGAATACATAGGTGAAAATCTCACTATCTCTGAAAGTGAATACCAATTGTATATATGTAGTTGTAATGAAACATTGATCTTGAAATGTAAAATTTGTTAAACAACATTCAGCTAGCTTTCGCGAATTCAGTCGCCGGTTGTTGGCGGACGGATTAATCGTTATTTAAGGGCAAACTCATTTAATATGAATATGAATAGTAGCAGGTATCTAAATGAGTTAGCCATAACAATAGCGATTCCGAATTAATAGGTCAAAAACGTATTTGTTTTAATGCGTATTTCCAAATGAATGTAATTACAGTACATGAGGCCATTGTATTTGCTTCTTGGATGTTAAAACCTTTTCAAAGAAAATGCAGTACATGTGATGTTACATAGTACACGTCGCACGAAAGTGGGGACAACTAACGGTGACAAAATTGTGTAGTTAATTTTTTTCAAATCAGACCTATATTAAAAGGTTAAATAAAGGTTAACTTATTGCTCGTCCCCTTCGCCTTCAATACCTTATACTTATTTTCGAAAATGTTAAAAGCGTATCATATACGGCAAGTTGAACTGAAACCGTCCGTTAAGCAATTGTGACGTTATCAAACCATATGTTCCATTTAATAAAATGTGAAATTTTAGTGAGATTCTGGTCATTATTTCAAAAGTTATCCCAATTTTAACGAACCGTGTAAGCGTAAAGTGTTTATGACATTAGCTAAATTTAATTAAACAATGTTCACCTTCATGTTTTACCCTAGGTATAGTGTAAAAATGCAAATCTCTGGCTGAATAAGATGATTAAAGTCACACATAGACATTTTACCTATATTTTAAAACCCCCAAAAAAGTAATAAATATGACACTGTGCTATAAAAAATGAGATAGAGAAAATATTGTGGCTCAGAAATAAAGAAAAAAAAGAAAACATGATGTGCTATGGCCGGGATTCGAACCTGCAAAATCAAGACTGATTCCCTAACCGCTCTGCCACAGCCTAAGCTATGGAGCATTTTTAGTATTCATTTTTAATTTCAGAAAAATGTTTTTCCTCTACACCACAATTATTAAATAGTAGTCAATAATCATGGTAATTATATTACAATACATATCTGAGTAAATATTCTAAGCCAAATTCAGAATTAATGCTGTTAATCCAGTTTTCATTTTGAGAATCTATTTCCTGTCATGATTGTCAAAAAAACATGGCTTCCAAAACAAAATTCTTGCTTCCAATTTTCAAAATGATATATTCATGGATCAGCTAATTTTGGCACCTGAAGCCATCCTAATAGAAAGGTAAGACTATTTACTTGAAAAGTATTTCTTGAAATCCCCAATTTCGGCCTCTGAAGTGTAAGAAAGCCACTTTAACTTGATTGTTTTAACTAAGACAAACTGAATGAGAAACGTTTTATTTTATTGGAAATTAATATATTTATAGACATGTGTGACTCAACATAATTCGAAACAGCGTTCAGGTT